TATTACATATATTGAAAAGAGTAAGGTGATTGATGAGGGTATCAAATGATTTAGATAAAGAAAAATTGGATATCAAATTGGGGAGGAGGAGTATGGAAGAAGTGAATGTTTTCAGATACTTGGGAGTTGACGTGTCGGCGATGAAGGATGAGGTTAATTAATCATATAATTGATGGGGGGAAAAAGGTGAGTGGTGCGTTGAGGTATATGTGGAGGCAAAAAACGTTATCTATGTAGGCAAAGAAGGGAATGTATGAAAGTATAGTAGTACCAACACTCATATGAGTGTGAAGCTTTGGTTGTGAATGCAGCAGCGAGGAGACGGTTGGAGGCAGTGGAGATGTCCTGTTTAAGGGCAATGTGTGGTGTAAATATTATGCAGAAAATTCGGAGTGTGGAAATTAGGAGAAGGTGTGGAGTTAATAAAAGTATTAGTCAGAGGGCAGAAGAGGGGTTGTTGAGGTGGTTTGGTCATTCAGAGAGAATGGATCAAAGTAGAATGACATGGAGAGCGTATAAATCTGTAGGGGAAGGAAGGCGGGGTAGGGGTCGTCCTCGAAGAGGTTGGAAGGAAGGGGTAAGGGAGGTTTTGTGGGCGAGGGGCTTGGCCTTCCAGCAGGCGTGCGTGAGCGTGTTCGATAGGAGTGAATGGAGACAAATGGTATTTGGAACCTGACGATCTGTTGGAGTGTGAGCAGGGTAATATTTATTGAAGGGATTCAGGGAAACCGGTTATTTTTATACAGCCGGACTTGAGTCCTGGAAATGGGAAGTACAATGCCTGCACTCTAAAGGAGGAGTTCGGGATATTAACAGTTTGGAGAGATATGTTGTGTATCTTTATACGTACATGCTTCTAAACTGTTGTGTTCTGAGCACCTCTGCACAAACAGTGATTATGTGTGAGTGAGGTGAATGTGTTGAATGATGATGAAAGTATTTTCGTTTTAGGGATTTTCTTTCTTTTTGGGTCACCCTGCCTCGGTGGGAGACGGCCGACTTGTTAAATATGTATATATATATATATATATATATATATATATATTATATATATATATATATATATATATATATATATATATATATATATATATATATATATATATATATTTAAATTCGATGAGCTGTAAGAGGCCAATGAAAGGCAGGGAACAGAAGACTAGTAACTCTTTCTTCTGTATTAGTTTCTAAAAACAAGGAATCAGATATATAGTCTGAGTCGTTTTAATGGAGATGGTAAGAAATCATTAACTGTCAGAACTATGAACAAATACTAACACTAAGTGTAACAAGGGTGAACGTAGTGCTGGATGTTCAATACTCAGTTATAAATTGTATTAAATCAGAAATATTTTAGTGAATTAGAGGTAAAGAAGTGGAGTTAATATTTAATCATGAATTGTGCAAAAAGGGTGAAGGGTTTAAATTAAAGATTTATATAGTGAAGTGGATTATACAAATTTCTTAACACATAATGGTGAGAAGAGTGTTCAGGTGAACTTGAGATTTTGGTAAGTGGTAAACGAGTGTTTAGTAAGTTTATAACCTAGTGAGAGAAAAATTGTTGTTAGTGAAATTAATGCTAAAATTGAAAAGTTTGTTGTATAAGGCAAAGTAATTTAGTTGGAAATGCCTTGAGTATATGATAAAGGAGGCCTTTTAACTGAGTTTCTTACAGAAAGAGATTTAGTAATATGTAACACTTATTTATGAAAAGAGGGGATAAGTAAGTGTTCAAGATATGGTAAAGTGCACAACAACATCAGCTTTCAAGATAAGATAAGATTTCGTTCGGATTTTTAACCCCGGAGGGTTAGCCACCCAGGAAAGTCAGTGCGTCATCGAGGACTGTCTAACTTATTTCCATTGGGGTCCTTAATCTTGTCCCCCAGGATGCGACCCACACCAGTCGACTAACACCCAGGTACCTATTTGCTGCTAGGTGAACAGGACAACAGGTGTAAGGAAACGTGTCGGAATTTCCACCCGCCGGGAATCGAACCCGGGCCCTCCGTGTGTGAAGCGGGAGCTTTAGCCACCAGGCCACCGGGCCACGCAAGGTAAGATAAATGGTGTCAATGGGTAGGAGACAGGTGAAGAAAGAATGTATTAAAGATGGGAACAGTTAATGGGAGGTATAAACAGATAATGAGGAGGTTGAAGAGGTTTGATATAGATTTATGAATATTGTGCTAGACAGCACCACTCCAGTTTGTGGTTATGGGAGGGGCAAGTGCTGATGAGGCGACGAATGGTTGGTGGAACGAGATAAACACTGAGCTTAGAGAGAAAAGGATGATGTGATTTTATTTTTGCACTTAAAATGTCCAAACGTAGATCTACGGAAGCAGAGTAAATAGAGAGAGAGAGAAAAAAAAGAGATGTTAATAGAATGGAGAATGAATACAAAGGGACAGCAAATGAGAGAATGGGTGACTACATCAACAGCTCTTAGAATCCGTTTTAAAATTAGAGATTAGTAATTTGAGAAACCCTAGTGAGTAAATGGACTTGACATTTAATAATGAAAGCGGGGAGATGTTCCATGTATAGTTGGCGTTGCGGGGAAGATGAAGAGACTGTTGTGAAAAATGTTAAATGTTTCTGATGAAGGTAAGGTGGGTATTTAATGCATTAAGTAGGAGTAGGGGAGAGTGAGAGGAGGAAGTGCACGAGGCAGTCGGTCGAATGAAAGGGATAAAGCAGCTGAGACAGAAGGGATTAAGACTGAGATGCTAAAAGCAAAGATGAGTATTTTTTTTTGAGTGGTTGGTGCTTTTGTTCATAATATGCATGCATGATGGGCAAATAGACATTAAGTGACCCAGAATATAATTACTGTTTTTTTTTTAAAGGAAAATATAACAAGAGAGTAAATATATATTATACTGATATGAACCTGTTGTCCACTGTATTCAGGACACAGTGAACGGTAGAATTATCAAGACAAATATGGTACACTAAATAATGGTCCAAGTCAGACCTAAACGTCATCATTTTCAGTCTCGTATGGGCGGGTTATATATGTATTGTTCCGATCACGGTATTGTGCCTTATTATTATTTATCTTTGATCGATGTGTTTTATTCATCTACTTGTCTGTTTTATTTACCATTATTTTAAGAATTTTTATTAAAAAGTTAGGGGTAAGATATAAAGTCGGATTACAGAGCAATGAAGATTTTGGATTTTGGATTTTGGATTTTGGAAAGGTACATGAAGAGTTGAAAAGACCAAATATTGATGATGATGCATGTAGGTAAGCAATATTTAGAAAAGTCATAAGAAACGGTGGAGAGAAGAGTACATTAGACTTAGGTTTGTGATGTTACCATAGCTGCTTCATATATTTATAGGTGGGTTATAAATTAAGTGACTATTAAAGGGGTTGGGGATGCGAGATACAAAATAAAGAATCTAATTTAAGATATGCGTTGTCACAGTTGATGCTTGTCGATGACTCTGTAGCTCAGGATGAATATGATGATAAGTAACAAATGAGGTGTTTTGGAAGATGTGTAAAAGAAGGAAATTCAATGATAACATAAAAGGGCAAAGTGATGATACTAACAAATGACAGTGAAAGACTGAATATTGCATTGCAGAGAGGAAATCTATAAGAAGTAAAAGACTTTAGATATTTGGGAGTAGATGTGCCGGCACATAGGCCTATGAAACACGAGGAGAAGCAACGTCAGGAGATGAGGACAAATGTTTAAGGAACATTAAAGCATCTGTAAAAACAAAACAAATAATTTTTTTTATTGAGGTAAAGAAGGGTAAGGCATAAGAGTGTAATAAGAGCAATGAGAAGCAGGGGAGTCACGAATACACTAAAAAGCAACACAGTAAATGTCAGGGGTCCCAAGACTGTTCAACTGCTTCTCAGTATACATAATGGAGATTACCAATAGACCCCCTGTCTGTCTGCAAGGTAAACTCCGGGTATTTACGTATATGGGTGTGAGACATGGGCTTCAAATGTTACATAGAAGGAGAGGCTGGATACAGTGAAAATGTCATGTTTGTGAGCAATATCTGGTGCGATTTATATACAAAGAACCAGGAGTGAAAAAATTAAAATCGTGTGGGGTTTATAAAAGAATTTTCTGAGGGTGGAGGAAGAGCTGTTGACTTAGTTTAGTCACTTAGAAAGGATGGAACAGAATAGGATAACAAAGGTGTAGAACTATTAGGAGAAAGAGAGGCTTAGTGCAGATCACCCAAGGAAGAGTTGAAGGAAAGGTGTAATTAGGTTTTCAATAGGTAGGAATATGTTCATGAACCATATATGTGTTAGCATGTTACGTAAATCAGAGAGTGTAATGAAATGTGGCTTCTGGGTTATGGCGGACTGTTCGATTGTGAGCAAAGTAATATTTATGAATGTAATCGGGGATACTTGTTTTCCGATCTTGAGTTTTGCAGGTGGGGAAGAATAGAGCCTGCACTCTAGAGGTGGAAGAGTTGAATTTTTGATTTCAGTGTCCGCCCACTTTTGAATGAATATATAAAAGATTCTTATTTGGATGAGATTAATCTGCCTTAGTTGACCAGTACACTGGTCAACTAAGGCAGATTAATCTCTCTCTCCCTCTCTCTTCCTCCCTCTCTCTCTCTCTTTCTCTCTCTCTCTCTCTCTCTCTTCTCTCTCTCTCTATCTCTCTCTCCTCTCTTCTACTCTCTCTCCTCTCTCTCTCTTCACTCTCTTTTCTCTCTCTCTCTCTCTTTCTTTCTCTCTCTCCCTTCTATTCTGAGGTGAATGAAAGAGTCAGTTGGGTTACAGTTGGTGCCTCTGACGGAATTCATGTACAGAAGTACTATTTCCGAATCTTCATTATTAGAAGCCTGGTATCTCAGACAGTAGAGCGTTGAACCTCTCTCTCACTCTCTCTCTCTCTGTTGAGACCTCGATCACAGGTCTGTCAGTTGACAGTGTGAAGCTACGCAAGTTAGATAAAAACCACTTAACATGTCCTACTATGTTTGCGCACCAACAGATAGGTGGGCTGCGCCCGGGCACCCGGTATACGCTGAAGGTATTCGCTGTGAACGCGATGGGACGCTCCCAGCCCTTGGTCTTCCCAGCCTACACCCTCACTGACGTAGCTGAACGACGCACAGGTGAGTTCAATCTCATGGGCAGGACATCAGGAGCGATGTATATCGGCGACAGGTTTATGGACAAAGGCACACAGCCAATGAAGATTTAAGAAGAGCTTAGTCACATCTAGCTTTAAGTAGAGATTTATCATGACGTGAGAAAACTCTACTCAGTGATTAAGTGGTTTCTTCTTCATTCTTGTGTCATTTCCACATGTTACAAGCAATATTAAAAAAAAAACATACCACAGGTGGAGATAGAACCCGCGGTCAGAGAGTCTCAAAACTCCAGACCGTCTCGTATGGTTTGTTTACAATCGTGTCATTACGATTTCGTGACACGAGCAATGTTCTCTTCATTGATTAACAACTAGTATGTTAGAGTTGTAGATAGGTGGAAATAACTACTAGTTTTTGGTGACTGGGAGCGAAAAGAGGAAAGTAATATCTAACTTATTGTTTTCGGAGGCTTGTGTGGCAAATATTGCATGTATTATAATGAACATGGCGTGATATAATAATCTCTAATGGCTTGATATAATAATCTCTAATTTTATAGTTGCCAATCATAGTCTTCCTACTATTACCCTGTTTACCACTTATCATGTTATTTGTTCTAATACTATTACAATGGCAATTCTGTTTAGCAGTATTACTGATTATTGTCGTATTATCCTCAGTGCGTCTATGTGTGTTGTGATTTGTGTAATGGGCACAAGTTTCCTTATTAACCTGTCATAATACTCACTGATTTTGCATCCCATTTTCAGTTTACACAGACAATTTCTGAAGATTCAAAATATTTATACATTATTTCCTTATCCTAAGATTGGTCAGGTTAACTCATATTACGTTAGATTACCGTAGGTTTGAACATTAAATTGGTATAAAATACCGACAGGTTGTTAGGTAAGACACATATACAACAGTTAGGTATCTTTATTTCGAAACGTTTCGCCTACACTAGGCTTCTTCAGTCGAGTACAGAAAAGTTGATAGAAGCAGAAGAGACTTGAAGACGATGTAATCAGTCCATCACCCTTGAAGTTTTGAGGTGGTCAGTCCCTCAGTCTGGAGAAGAGTATTGTTCCATAGTCTGAAATCAAACCTAATCAAACCGTAGGTTTGATTAGCTTTCCTAAAACTATGATAATATATTTTCCCACAAAAAATTAGACGAAAAACTTGGGATGGGGAGAAGGGAACTTGGGTAGGCAAAACCCAGAAATGTTCAGATCAGACGCCTCTAGCTCACTGATAATCTGCAACGGACGATTGACCGGAGTAAGACTTAGGGCGAATAGAGACGATAAGCAACTGTCCTTACACTTGTTCCCTTTCTCTACTCAGCAGTAAATAGGTACTCATTTGTAAGTCTACTGTTGTGTGTGATATTCTCAAGACTAAGGGACTGATTACCTCAAACTCCTCATCTTCCACAATTTATCTTTGTACCGGACTGAGGAAGCCATTTGTTGGCGAAACGTTTCAACATTAAAAATACCCAAGTGCTGCAGAAGTGTCTCAATTATTAATGTGTTGGTTCTCTGAACCATTGATCTACGAGGTCTAGCATACCTTAAACATGAGCTGAGATGGAATAACAACATTCTTTGGGGTAGTAATATACTTTATATAAGGCTACTCTTGGTAGCAAGTGGCTAGTAATGCCTTCTCTTGCATACATTAATAAATTTAAAAAGAAAAACTTTCGTTTTGGTGGGATATGGCCGGTTTGATGAAAAAAAAAACTGCTCTTTGAAACGAGCTGAGGTAGAATATCAGCTTCAGGATATCATTCAACACTGCAAAAATAATTTGCACGTATATTCACCTTAATTTGAAGATGTGATGAATTAATTATGTTTAAACAGAATTTATGAAGTCTTTCCTCTCTCCAACTCTGTTCTTTGATGCTAACGACGGCTCTTGATTCGAGGAATTAGTGATACCCTTACCTTCCTCGGATCAAACCTGATTGCCTCCCACTACCCAGGCGCTGTAAGACACTAAGGTCTGGATCAGCCTGGCTGGATGGCTATGTGGACCAGCGGGCCGCCAATTACAACAGATTGCTAGACAAAGCAGTGAACAGGAATGCCTGGTCCCAGTCCAGGCTGCGGGGGTTGAAAACCCCTTGAACACGCCACAGGCATATCACTGATATAGGGATAAATCAGTAACAACAACAACAACTACAACAACAACAACAACAACAATAATAAAATAATAATAAAATAATAATAAAAATAAATAATAATAATAATAATAATAATAATAATAATAATAATAACAAAAACTTGGTATTATTACTCTCTTCTCTTACATTTCTTTCTATCTCTGTACAATTAACTAACAGAATTTTATTTCTAGGACTTTTTAGTTAATACTGTTGAGTATAGTGACGCACAACAATCGTCTATTATACAGGTACCTATTTACTGCTAGAATCAATTACATTGATCATCTACACGAGGGTCACTAAGGACACTTTAATGCTTGATAAGAGGATGTAAGCTCTAAAGCGTATACATACTGAGATATACATCCAAGTTTATTTAAACTGCGGCTCTCAGTATGGAGACACAGTATACTATGCAGGATAAATATACACAGAGTCCATACGTCTGTCTGTGGCTAAGCTTTACTGTTGGAAATAACGAATTTGGGTCAAATGCTCGACTTTAATATAAAAAATATACTTATGTGTACCGATTTCTAGCAACACTTTCACTTCAAAAATTATATTGAAAGGGATGTAATAACGATCATCATTTGTACATCATTGCACCAGAATACTCTCTAGAAAATGTTCCACACTGTGGAACACAACTTGGTACAATAATATTTATTTTTAACTGGTTGACTTACTTTAAAAATCTAAATGAAAACAGTATTAGTAAATGTATAATGAGCACAAGTTAACCTGAGAAACATGGTGTGTGTTAATTATCTTGAGTTATTAATGCTGGACACACACACACACACACACACACACACACACACACACACACACACACCACACACACACACACGCACACACACACACACACACACACACACACACACACACACACACACACACACACACACACACACACACTGTATAGTGAGGCTTAATCAAAATAGTGATTTTTTATATTATAAGCAATAATCAGTTAGCATTTATGATTGATAATAATGAAAATATAATAATAATAATAATAATAATAATAATAATAATAAATAAGAAGAAGAAGAAGAAGAAAGAAGAAGAAGAAGAAGAAGAAGAAGAAGATGATGATGATGAAGAATAAGAAGAAGAAGAAGAATGATTATTGTAATACAAAAAACAGTAATAAAAATAATAGCAACAGATACATAATAATTCATGTATTTATTACTTACCACTTTTATCCTTCCCCCAAAAAATTATATTTTAAAACATCTGGTAGAAAACTATGAAAAATGATCCAATGCTTTTAGCGTTGAAGTATTCAACACTATGTTAGAGTACTTGATACTGTGTTAGAGTACTTAGCAGCGTGTTAGAGTACTTGACAGTGTTAGAGTACTTGCATAGTGTTAGAGTACAAAACAAAGTGTTAGAGAACTTGTCACAGTGTTAGAAAACTTATTACAGAGTTAGAGTACTTAAAACAATGTTAGAGTACTTATTACTGTATTAGAGTGCCTATGACAGTACTCTAACATAAGTTTAGAGTACTTTACACAGTGTTAGACAACTTAACACAGTGTTAGACAACTTAACACAGTCTTAGAGTACTTATCGACACTGTTAGAGTACTTAATGATGTTATAATGCTTTGCAAAGTGTTATAGTACTTACCACTGCGTTAGAGTTCTTTTTACACAGTGTTAGAGTGCCTATGAAAGTATTAGAGTACTTAACACAGTGTTAAGGTTCATCAAAACGTGTTACAGTAAGTTAGGCAGTGTTAAAATGCACAATACGGTGTTAGAGTACAAAACATAGTGTTATAGTATATTAGAGAGCGTTAGAGTACACAACACAGTGTTACAGTACACAGCGCAGTGTAAGAGTACACAGCACAGTGTAAAAGTACACAACACAGTGTAGGAGTACACAACACAGTGTTAGAGTACACAGTACAGTGTTAGAGTACACAGTGCAGTGTTAGAGTATACAGCACAGTATTAGAGTACACAGCACAGTGTAAGCGTACACAGCACAGTGTTAGAGTACATAGCACAGTGTTAGAGTACACAGCAGTGTAAGCGTACACATCACAATGTAGGAGTACACAGCAGTGTAAGCGTACACATCACAATGTAGGAGTACACAGCACAGTGTTAGAGTACGCAACACATCATCTAACATTGTTTTGTGTACCCTAACACTGTGTTGTGTAGTCTAACACTGTGCTGTGTACTCTAACACTGTGTTGTGCACTCTTAACACTGTGTTGTGTACTCTAATGCTGTGTAATATACTATAACATTGTGTTGTGCACTCTAACACTGTGTTGTGCACTCTAACACTGTGTTGTGCACTCTAACACTGTGTTGTGCACTCTAACACTGTGTTGTGTACTCTAACACTGTGTTGTGCACTCTAACACTGTGTTGTGTACTCTAACACTGTGTTGTGTACTCTAACGCTGTATAATATACTATAACACTATGTGTAATGTAACACTTGTGTGCTCTAACAACGTGATGTATACCCTAACACGAAGATGTGTACTCTAACACTGTGTTGTGTACTCTAACAACGGGATATATACCCTAACAGGAAGATGTGTACTCTTACACTGTTCATTATTTTAATACTAACATTTACATTATCACTGTGTTGTATATTCTAACACGGGCATGTACTCATACACTATTGCGTACTCTAACACGGGCATGTACTCATACACTATTGCGTACTCTAACACGGGCATGTACTCATACACTATTGCGTACTCTAACATTAGCATGTATTATGTTTTATGTGCTCTAACACTAACACGTCTACTAACACTACCATGTCTACTCTAACGTTGTGTTATGTACTCTAATACTGCCATGTACACTAACACTGTGTTGTGTTCTCTAACACTGGCATGTACTCAAACACTGTGTTGTGTACTCTGACACTAGTATGTGCCCAAGCACTCTGTTGTGTACTCTAACACAGGCATGTACTCTAACATCTGCAAATTACTCCTTCTCATTTATATTAGTTAAATGTTTTCCGTACTAAACATTAAACAATTACTTACTGTATTCTCTCTCCCTTTCTCTCTCTTTTCTTTTATCCATTGTTTTCTGGTGGTGACGCTGATGGTGGTGACGCTGGTGGTGGTGACGCTGGTGGTGGTGATGCTGGTGGTGGTGATGCTGGTGGTGGTGACGCTGCGAATGATGGTGACCTCAACCACTACTACTGATACTAATGCTGCTGGTGCTACTGCTGGTGACACTGCTGGTGACACTGCTGGTGACACTGCTGGTGACACTGCTGGTGACACTGCTGGTGACACTGCTGGTGACACTGCTGGTGCTGTAATTTCTACGACAATCACCGCTGATGATGGTGTTTCTGCTGTGACTAACGACCCCTACTACTGCTGATACCACCACTGGTGATTCCCCCGTGTCTACGACCTTTACCACTGCTGCTGCTGCTGCTGCTGCTGCTGTTCCTCGCTGAGCTCAGCGCTGGGGGCTGGAAACCCCGGGGAACCCCTCAGTCCCATTGTGGGTTCAGTGATCGGTGGGGTGTTGGCTGTGTTGTTGCTGTTGAGCATCGCCCTGGTGGTGGCCAAGTGTAAGGGACGCTCCTCCCACGAGGCCCACAGGTGAGTACTAGACCACTATAGCTGAGTACTAGTACTAGACCCACCACTTGTGAGGAGGCCTGGTCACAGACAGGAGGCCTGGTCACAGACCGGGCCGCGGGGGCGTTGACCCCCGGAACTCTCTCCAGGTAAACTAGACCCACCACTTGTGAATACTAGATCCACCACTTGTGAGTACTAGATCATTTTTGAGTACTAGATTCACCATAGCTGAGTACTAGACCCACCAGAGCTGAGTACTAGATCTACCACCACTTGTGAGTACTAGGCCCACCAAAGGTGAGTACTAGACCACTTTTGAGTACAAGATTCACCACAGCTGAGTATTAGACTCACCACAGCTGAGTATTAACCTAACCATGGATGAGTACTAGACCCACCAGAGCTCAGTACTAGATCCACCATAGGTGAGTACTAGATCCATCACCACTTGCGAGTACTAGATCCACCATAGGTGAGTACTAGATCCACCATAGGTGAGTACTAGATCCATCACCACTTGCGAGTACTAGATCCACCATAGGTGAGTACTAGATCCATCACAGGTGTGTACTGATCCCGCAGAGGTGTGTACTGATCCCGCAGAGGTGTGTACTGATCCCGCAGAGGTGTGTACTGGCCCCACAGGTGTGTACTGGTACACACAGGTGTGTACTGGCCCCACAGGTGTGTACTGGTTCCCAACAGATGTGTGCTGGTTTCCCCTCAGATGTGTACTGGTCTACACAGGTGTGTACTGGTCCTCAAGAGGTGAGTCCTGGCTACAAACGGATGTGTAGTAGTTGTGTACTGGTGCACTATCAGGTGTGTACCGGTCCACTAAGAGGTGCGTATATGTCTACTAGCAGGTGAGTATTGGTGCACTAACAGGTGTATATTGGTTCACTAACAGGTGTATATTGGGTCACTAACAGGTGTATATTGGTTCACTAACAGGTGTATATTGGTTCACTAACAGGTGTATATTGGGTCACTAACAGGTGTATATTGGTTCACTAACAGGTGTTTATTGGTTCACTAACAGGTGTATATTGGGTCACTAAACAGGTGTATATTGGTTCACTAACAGGTGTATATTGGTTCACTAACAGGTGTATATTGGGTCACTAACAGGTGTATATTGGGTCACTAACAGGTGTATATTGGGTCACTAACAGGTGTATATTGGTTCACTAACAGGTGTATATTGGTTCACTAACAGGTGTATATTGGATCACTAACAGGTGTATATGGTCACTAACAGGTGTATATTGGTTCACTAACAGGTGTATATTGGTTCACTAACACGTGTGTATTGGTCTACAAACAGCTGTGTGTTGTTTCATAAACAGGTGAGTGTTAGATAACCACAACTGTGTACTGGCCAATCCCAGGTGTGTACTGGTCACCAGGTGGGATCTGAGTCACCTCAGGGATACAGCGAATCTGACTGGAAAAATTTTGGGTCTTCATCAGAGGGTACAAGTGATGAGGTGCTGGACTGGGGGCTGGGACAGGTAAGTTACTGAGCTGGGGGCTGATACAGGTAAATTACTGTGCTGGGGTTGGGACAAGTTAGTTATCTGACCGGGGGCTGGGACAGGTAGGTTACTGTGCTGGGGTTGGGACTGGTTAATTACTGTACTGGGGCTGGGACCAGTAAGTTACTGTGCTGGGGCTGGAACTGTTACTAGTTATTTACTGTGCAAGGGGCTGGAATGGTTAGTCTTTGTTTTGGGGGCTAGCCCGGGATAATTACTGTTAATGGAAATTTTTTGTTTTTTTGCCTGGGGGTTGGGACTAACTAGTTATTGTGCAACAGGTTTGGACTAATTACCTTATTGTGCTGTAAACAATACAAAAATTTAAACCTGCACATAGAGAGAGGAGCCTACGACGGCTTTTCCGTCCGACTTGGATAATTTACAAAGTCACACTAACTAGTGTGACTTTGTAAAAAGGTTCAAGTCTGACTGAATCGTCGTCGTAAGCTCCTCTCTCTTATGTACGGGATATTTGCGTATTATTCTAGTCGCGGGATTGTGCCTTTTTTTCATTGTGCAGTACTAGGTTAGGACTAATTATTGATTGTGTAGTAGATTGGGACTAATTAGTTTTTTGTGCTGGGGACTGTGACTTTAAATTTGTTATTGTGCGGACTGTGCCTAATTATTTATTGTGCTGGTGACTGTGAGTAATTAGTTATTGTGCTGGTAACTGTGACTAATTAGTTATTGTTATGGTGACAGGGACTGTTTACTGTGCTAGGAGCCAGGCTGGTGTGGTACAGTCTACGATCTCAAGAGAATGAGACAACAAGCGTATTAATTTGATTGCTTGTGCTCAGTTGCAAAATGAACGACATTAAATTAAAATTATTTTAATTATGTTAACTGGTCAATTCGAGTGGATTATTCAACTCAAGGAATGACGGAGGCTAAGTGCTCCGTCTGTTAATCAATAAAATGACACACTACTTTCGCAACCAAGTTGAGGTTTTAAAGATACTGAAGGTGCGCTCCTTTTTGTGTATCCCGATACCTATTAAGGATGAAAATATTGGATTCAATATTTTAATATGCCTTGTATAGCATTAAAAATAGGTTAGACAAGTTCAAGAGTGGGTGTGCAAGGATGTGACTTAGACATTGTGAATTCTGCTTTGTTTTCTCGCTATAATGGTTCATGAATCTTGTCGTTGTTTTGCTCTGCGACTTGGCGTAGTCCAGTGGTCACGCTCGTGGCTCGTGTCAAGAAGGCTGTTGATTCTTTACTCGGAAAGAGGATCGAGTCTCCAATGGTTTAAACAATTTCATACTGCATATATATGTATATATATATATATATATATATATATATAAGTAGTCATGATTTCTACAGAGCGGTGTATCCGGTTTAAAGGCCTTCTACAGAGCGGTGTATCCGGTTTAGGGGCCTTCTACAGAGCGGTGTATCCGGTCTAGGCCTTCTACAGGGCGGTGTATCCGGTCTAGGACCAGCAGCTGGAGGGTCACCTTTTCACACCTAGGTGTTACTTCCGGTTTTGACCATGACCTCGCCCTCGAGACTACCTCACCCTTAACCCCCCAACCAATAACCCCACCCACCACGACCCCCCCCCCCCCCGCCTCGCGGACCCCCCATCGCGCCGCGCGCCCGCGCGCCCGCCCCGCGCGCCCGCCCGCCGCCCAGCGTGCCCTTCGCGCGCCCGCCCGCCCGCGCGCCCGCGCGCCTTCTGCTGCGCCTTCTGCAGCGTCGTCCGGATCGCCCCCGCCCCCGATTTTTTTTCTTATGATCTCCTTGGATCCAGGTTTTTGGATTCCCCCCCTATGGGGTTTCGAATTTTTTTTGAATTTCATTTTCTTGTGCTCTCCATCTCCTCAGATCAAATTTTTAAGGTTCCCCCTCCCACTTTCACCCCCCAATCCCAAAAATTTCTTGATAATACAAGTTTTGGATTCCCCCCTATGGGGGTTTTGAATTTCTTATGATCACCTTGGATCAAATTTTTGGATTACCCCTCCCACTTTCACCCACCCCCCACCTCAAATTTTTCCGAAATACAATTTTGGGTTCAGGGACACAACAGTGAACGGTTAGAATTATTCAAGACAAATATGGTTACCTCAACTAAAATAATGTCCAAGTCAAGGACATTAACGTCGTCATTTCAGTCTCGTATGGGCGGGTTATTTATGATATTGTTCGATCCACGGTATTGTGCGCTTATTATTATTTATCTTGTACGATGTGTTTATATTATCTACTTGTACTGTTTTATTTACCATTTTATTTTAAGAATTTTTAGTAAAAAGTTCGGGTGAAGATATAAAGTCGATTACAGAGCAATGAAGATTTTGGATTTTGGATTTTGGAAAGGTACATGAAGAGTTGTAAAGACCAATATTGATGATGATGCTTGTAGGTAAGCATTATAGAAAAGTCATAAGGAAACGGTGGATGAGAGCGTACATTGACTTTAGGTTTGTGTTGTTACATAGATGCTTAATATATTTTATAGCGTGGGTTATAAATTAAGTGATATTAAAGGGGTTGGGGTTGCGAGATACAAAATAAAGAATCTAATTTAAGATATGCGTTGTCTCAGTTGATGCTTGTCGATGACTCTGGTGCTCAGGATGAATATGATGATAAGTAACTAATGAGTGTTTTGGAAAGTTGTGTATATAGAAGGAAATTCAATGATAACATAAATGGGCAAAGTGTTTGATATTAACAAATGGACAGTGTAAGACTGAATATTGCATTGCAAGAGGGAATTCTATAAGAAGTTTAAAAGGACTTTAGATATTTGGGAGTAGATGTGCCGGCACATAGGCCTATGAAAACGAGGAGAAGCAACGTCAGGAGATGAGGACAAATGTTTTAAGGAACATTAAAGCATCTGTAAAAAACAAAACAATATAATTTTTTTTATTGAGGTAAAGAAGGGTATGGCATAAGAGTGTAATACCCAGGCAATGGAGACGCAGGGGGCAGGGGGAAGTCACGAAATACAATAAAAAGCAACAACAGTAAATGTCAGGGGCCCAAGACTGTTCATATGCTTCTCAGTATACATAATGGTGATTACCAATAGACCCATGTCTGTTGCAAGGTAAACTCCGGGTATTTAGTTTAGGGGTGTGAGGACATGGGCTTCAAATGTTACCATAGAAAGGAAGAGGGCTGGTTATAGTGAAAAATGGTCATGTTTGTGTGCTTACTAATCTGGTGCGATTTATATACAAAGAACCAGGAGTGAGGAAATTAAATCGTGTGGGGTTTATAAATAAAGAAATTTTTGAGGGTGGAGGAAGAGCTGTTGACTTTTTTAGTCACTTAGAAAAGGATGGAACAGAATAGGATACCAAAGGTTGTAGAACTATTTGGAGATAGAGAGCTTAGTTGCAGATCCCCAGGAAGAGTTGATGGAAAGGTGTTGTAATTAGGTTTTCAATAGGTGGAAATATGTTCATGTACATATATGTGTTAGCATGTTACGTTAATTCAGAGAGTGTAATGAAGAATGGGGCTTCTGGGTTATGGCGGGACTGTTCGATTGTGGCAAAGTAATATTTATGGCAGTGTAATCGGGGGATACTTGTTTTTCCGATCTTGAGTTTTGCAGGTGGGGGAAGAATAGAGCCTGCTCTTAGTGGTTGGAAGAGTGGAATTTTTTGATTTTCAGTTCCGCCCCTCTTTTTGAATTGAATAATAAAAGATTCTAATTGGGATGAGATTAATCTGCCTTAGTTGACCAGTACACTGGTCAAAATAAGGCAGCATTAAATCTCTCTATCCTCTTGCTCTTCCTCCCTCCTCTCTCTCTTCTTTATCCTCTCTCTCTCTCTCTCTCTTTCTCTCTCTCTCTCTCTCTCTCTCTCTCTCTCTCTTCTCTCTCTCTCTTCTCTCTCTCTCTCTCTCTCTTTCTTTCGCCTCCCTTCTATTCTGAGGTGAATTGAACAGGTCGTTGGGTTACAGTTGGTGCCTCTGGGAATTCATGTACAGAAGTACTATTTCCGAATCTTTCATTATAGAAGCCTGGTTATCTCAGTACAGTTAGGCGTTGTACCTCTCTCTCACTCTCTCTCTCTCCTGTTGAGACCTCGATACAGGTCGTCAGTTGACAGTGTGAAGTACGCAGTTAGATAAAAAACCACTTTACGGCATACTATGTTTGCGCACAACAGATAGGTGGGCTGCGCCGGGCATCCCGGTATACGCTGAAGAGGGTATTGCTTGTGAACGCGATGGGACGCTCCGGCCTTGGTCTTCCAGCCTACACCCCTCAGCTGACGTAGCTGATCGACCACAGGTGAGTTCAATCTCTGGGCTGGGCATCAGAAGCGATGTATTATCGGGCGGACCAGGTTTATGGACAACAGGCCACACAGTCATGAAGAGTTAAGAAGAGCTAGTCTCATCTAGCATTTAAGTAGAGATTTATCATGACGTGAGGAAAACTCTACTTCTGTGATAAAGTAGTTTCTTCTTCATTCTGTGTCATTTCCACATGTTACTAGCTAATGTTAAAAAAAAAAACCATTACCACAGGTGGAGATAGAAACCCCGCGGTCATTGAGTTCCTCAAAACTCCAGACGTTCGAGTATGGTTGTTTACAATCGTGTCATTACGATTTTCGTGACTCGAGCAATTGTGCTCGTCATTGATTAATTACTAGTATGATTAGAGTTGTAATAGGTGGATGGAACATAACTAATAGTATTTGGTGACTGGGAGAGGAAAAGAGGAAAGTAATTATCAAACTTATTGTTTTCGGAGGGGGCTTATGTGTGGCAATATTGCATGTATATAATGAATTATGGCGTGATATAATAATCTCTAATGGCGTGATATAATTAATCTCTAATTTTCATAGTTGAATTCATAGTCTTACTACTATTACCCTGTTTACCACTTCATCATGTTATTTGTTTAATAACTATTACAATGGCAATTCTGTTTTGCAGTTATTACTCGATTATTGTCGTATTTATCCTCAGTGCTTTATGTGTGTTGTGATTTGTGTAATGGGCACAGTTTCCTTTATTAACTATCTTAA